GATCCTGCACTGGAAGTGGCAAAGAATTGCAACAGAAGCTTTAGGCACGATTTGCCCTTAGTGAAGCCACGTTGGCTGTCACCAATCCCCTCCTTATTTTCCATGAGCCCTAGCATAGTTTCTAGGAGGATCTGCTCCATGATCTTGCCAGGCACACAGGTGAGACTGACTGGCCCGCAGTTCCCCAGGTGTCCTGGTTTCAACTTGGATAGAGTTAATTGTCTTCCTGGTAGCTGGTATAGTGCTGCGTTTTGGATTTGTTATGAGAACAATGTTGATAACACACTGATGTTTTCAGCTGTTGCTAAGTAGTGGTTATACCAAGTCAAGGATTTTCCAGCTTCTCATGCAAGCAAGAAGGCTGGAGGGGCACAAGAAGTTGGGAGGGGACACAGCCAGGACAGCTGACCCAAACTGGCCTAAGGGGTATTCCATACCATGTAACATTACACCCAGTATATAAACTGGGGCGAGTTGGCCTGGGGGGAATCACCGCTCAGGAACGAACTGGGCATCGGTCGGCGGGTGGTGAGCAATTGCATCGTGCATCACTTGTATGTTCCAGTCCTTTTATTATTATTATTGTAATTTTATTATTGTTGTTATTATCTTTATTAGTTTCTTCCTTTCTGTTCTATTAAACTGTTTTTATCTCAACCCACGAGTTTTACTTTTTTTCCCGATTCTCTCCCCCATGCCACTGAGTGTGGGGGGTGAGTGAGCACTTTTGTGGTGCTTAGCTGCTGGCTGGGGTTAAACCACGACACCAGGTCTTCCTTTTTTCCCTTTTTAAAAGTGGGGGTTATGTTTCCCCTTTTCCACTCAGTGGGAACTGACTCCCCTTTCCTTGAGTCCCTCCCTTTCCTTCTACTGCATTTTTGCACAGTGGGTTTGAACAACTTAGTGTTCATATTAAAATATTCTGGTGTTCAGCAGTAGAAAGTTGAGGAAGGCGTTCCTTGAAAAGAATTAGAAACTGCTAGAGTCTGAAGGGAGTGTCTTCCAAGGAAAAACTGAGAGGAGTACATCTGCACAATTTAAGCAATATTTAAAGAGAGATATCATAATAGTCTGTAAGGATTACAAGGTTGTAAACATGAATGGGGGATAAGAATTTTATAGGAAAGTCCAAAGGATGTCAATTAGTATTTTAAAATTAAACAAGGGGAAATTAATCTAAGTGGCTGTATAATCATGGTTTGTGATGGATGTTGGAGTGGAAATTCTTTTTAATTAAAAGCGCTGGAAGGGGAAAGGATTAGTCTGATAAATTTTCTAGGCTGGGAGAAGAAACTAGAAACTGTTGAATTGAAAACTACCTATTTTGTGGCTTGCCATGATTTAAACTTAGAAATCTTACCTATTTCTAGACTTTATAAAAAGCTTAAAAGAAAGTGATATGTGTTATTCAAAATTATTGAGACTTTGCACTTTTTTTTAGCCTTAATTTGGAAAGAGAAAACTATTTTCACATGTCAAAAAATGCATTTGCTTTTCATGATTTCATAATACATATGCACTGTTGTTCCTAGTGAATTGTGTCCTGTTTCCCTGGTACCTTTTTTGTATTCTTAACTGTTTTAATATGTGATTTGATATGCCTCACTCTGATCTCTTTTAGCCCCCTTTGTTTTCCCCTGATCAGTGTTCTGTGTCATGTACATTTTACTTTCAGTTTTCATTCATTAAAATGACATTTCTCATCTTCTGCTTCACTGCACTGTTGAGGACTTGTCACTTCTTTTCCTCACTCTTTCTGTTCTTACTCATGGCAAATGAAATCATTAATCAAAGCAAAAATCCTGCTATAGGTACCTACAAACTCTGCATACAGAATTTGACTACTGCAGATGTCACTTGGAAAAGTGAGGGTTTCTGGCAACATGGAGACACCTTGGCATTTTTATCATGCTTAAGAGAAAATTGGGTGTTTATGTCCTTGGGAAAAGGTATTTCGAGGCAAATTCTCAGCCACTGGAGTGGAGGGGTCTGCGGCACTTTTCTTTGGCTGAAGATCTGTTGTTTTGCATTTCTGGAGTCACTTGTCATTAAATGAACATAAGAGAACAGTCAAGTTCATCAAACCACACCTGCTTGAATGAAAAATGGAAGCTAGCTGTTGCGAGGACAATGTTTTCGATGCTGCTTTCCAATACAAATGTCCCACAGAAGGTAAGTGCTCTGAGGAACACTGCAGTAGACAGGTCTACCACACATTTCACCTGGATCAAAGCGTATCTTCTCCTTCTGAACAAGAGATTATTAATTTGCTCTCATACCCTCTACTACTTTGTTTATTTTTAACCAGGTTCAATCTCCCAAAAACTCAGTGACTATTAAATCTGTATTTGGGCCAAACAGGTTGTCTGGTGGCACAACAGAGCCCTCCTAAAGTCACAGCACACCACAGTGAGTCTGGAGAGACCAAGTGAAGAAAAGTGGGTAGCTGGTTTTAAATATCTCTGACGACATACTCCAAAAATCTTCTCCATGATTTTCTCCCAGTGTGAAAACTGAAGGTAAGCAAAAAATTAAGACACCACCACAAAGAAAATTTAAATCTACTGTGAAAATAGCTAGTATCTTTCTAGTCTTATGCCTCAGGTCCCTGACTGTGGTTGTCTCAAGAAATCTAACTGAATGCAGGAAAAAAAAAAAAAAAAAAGAGAGAAAAAAAAGAGGGGGGAGGAAAGCCATTATTGTAATCTTTAAAAGTTCTTTTTGTTTAGAAAAAGTAAACGAAACCATAGTTAAACCCATAAATCTGAGAAAATTTAGGTGAATTATTTAAACTTTTTTTTCTTATGTTCACAGAATATTTGCAAACTTACTGTTGTTTTTCTGATTAAGGAGAAATTAAAAGCAACACATTAAAGCTGAAGAACTTTTCTAGCCATTTTGATTGATTCAGTTGAAATGTGTTACAGAGTTACATATTGTTCCATAACAGAATTTGTTAGAGAAAAATGTTACAAGTTTATAGGCTATTTTACCAGGAAAACCCAGTACTAATTGGCTGAAAAGACTGGTTTCAATCTACATATTAGTGCACATAAACTGGGAAAAAGAATCAAGTGAAGCACAGAAGCAGACTTTGAAACTGCAGTAGTATGAAAGAATATAATAGAACAGGATATTAAATAATCAGATATATAATATCTAGCAGAAATTTAATTTTGTGTAGTTGCCAAAATAGCAGTTTAGTGACAAAGAATGAACAATATTATAAAAGGATTAGTCTGATACTGTGTTCCAGTTCATAAATGTCACAATTCGTTGTTTCATAGCTTACATATTTTCTTAGGTGACATAGATAACAGTTAATTTTCACCTCTTGCATACAAATCCTTGTATTCATTGACCAGAGAAATTAATGTCTTGCCTTGGAGGCTAAGTTTTATATGCCTGAATGAGTTAACAGTGTGGTTTTTTCACATTTGTTTTCTATCTTAGTATTTCAAAGGGTAAATAACAGCTTTTCTCAATCTTCAAGTCTCTTTACTGCAGGTCAGATTCTGCCATGAGAAGCAGTTGGCCTTTGGAAACTTTATTCTATGCCGTTTTTATAGACTTCATGGAATTATTTGTGGCATGACCTGCCACTCACACTCACTGTGAGCAAGTATGGGAGCATAAAATCACAAGGTGTGTTACAGCTTTTGTACTGAAATAAGCCTCACTTTAAAGTTACGTTGTGCCTTAACTGTGTGATATTATTAGCTACCATTGTTCTCCACAGTGCTGCTACACATCTCAGAGGAACTGTGGGGACTTGATGCCAGATCTTCCAAACAGCACAGCAAGTACTTGCACACATCAATAATGGTCAAATTTTTATATTATCCATGAAGAATATGGAGAGCAGTGGGAATTGTCGATGCCAAATGCATTGAATCTGTGGCTTCATGACTTACTTAAGATACTTATGTAGGAAATGAGCAATTCTATAGTCCTGGTACATGGTTACCTGCCAGGTGTCTGCTTTCAGAGAATCAGCAGAAAATATGTATTTTCTTAATAGGTATCGAATGGTAGGTCATTACTTTAGCTTTATAAGAAACTAGTTTAGATTTCCACAGTGATCTCACTGATTACTACTGCATACGGCAATAAGTAAGGTCTTTCCCCATACATGAGCTGGTAAGAGTCAGTATTTCAAGTACAGGATATGTGTTCCATGAACACGACTTAAAAGAATTCTCAAATATATATTGCTGTATTCTGCCTCTTACCAAGCAGCAATACTGAGCCAGGAAGGAAATCTACAGGATTTCCCTTTGTCTCTTTTTTGTTTTTCTCCTCTTCTCCTTTTGCTTTTTCCCTTCTGCTGCTGTCCAAGTTGTATACTCCTTAACGGTGAAATGGTGAGAAACAGAAAACTCAATGGAGGAAATGCAAAAAGTACAGGTAAAACTAGGGTTTCTCAGACCTAGGGGTGAAATTCCCATAGGCTACAGAAGGCTAGACTTTTAGAAAAATGTCTTTGTTAGAAATATCAAGCTAGACACGAAAAAAGGCAACTGTGGAAGGTAACAGTCCTGAAGACCTAAAAGATTGTGGCAAGTATGTGTATAATGGAGGAGGAGCTCAAGTCACAAGTTTTCAATTTTCTTTTCAGTGTGCAGAGCCCCACCTAGTGAAATCAAGCCTGTTGATAGACAGTTTGTTTTCCTTGTTTACTTTTCACAGACTGATGGGAAGCTGTCCTTCCACACCCAGGGGCTGCAGACCGAGAACCAGTGCTCTGGAGCTTACAGAGAGACTCCTTTAGAAAGCAATCTAAACCAGGAGCCTTACTCATTAACTTCTGCTGGACTGATGCCACCCAGAGCAATCCCATGTTCTATTGTCCAGGGTATGTTTTAATGAAGGAAAAAAACACCACCCCAAAATATCTCCACTGGTGTCTTTTATTAAGTAATGCAAAATACAGTATTAATTATGACACTGCATGCATTTTAGACAATATAAATGCAAGCCTACAGAAAATGTGACAAAGAAACCCTCAATTACTTTTGAGGTAGTATACAAGGTAAAATAGGAAAGCAGAAACACAGTGGATTAAAAGAACAAAATATTAGTATCACTTTGTGCATACATTAGTCACTCATAAATACATTTGTATGAAATAACTTAAGATACAATTCCATTCTTTTTAAAAAATATACTTCTTCAAATTCACCATTCTTGTTTGTTTTGTTTTCACATGACATTTTATGGTATTTTATCAGGTGGATTTATTTTTTATCACTGCCATCATGATTTTACCCTTTTCCTCCAAGAGTTTAGGCACAGATGGCCTCATGCACAAAAATAAATAAGAAACCTGCTTGAAGGGAAAAGAATTCTGCTCAAATAGCTTAGGATAGTCTAATAAATATCATTTTGTTTATAAAAATATTTCAGGTTTATAAAAGAGGGGAGGGGACTGTCTCCCACGTGGAAAGGGTGTTAAGTGAAAAGTGCTGTATAACATTTTTGAAGAGATTTTGTTTTAAACATATAGTACCATTATGAATATATATTTTATAATAATCCTGTTTCTTAGAACCTTACTGTTCACTAGAAGTATCAAATGCTGTTTGCTTCCTTTTGTTTGTTGTCTTATTGCCGTTTTGGAAGATGCCTAGTTCAGAAGGGTTCCGTATAATTGTGCTTTTGTAAGGCTGTCCTTCCGACTCAAACCAGTACTCCCAGTCCGTTGAAACTGCTGCTGTTTGCTGTGAATACCCGAATGGCTTCCTTGCTCCATGGAAGACTGGTGGATTTCTGAAGCCTCCATTGAACTCTGATTGAGGGACTCCGCTGAGCTGTTGGGGCTCACGTCCACGTATTCTCTTTTCAATACCGGGCTATTTTCGATGTTTTTGCTACTGCATAACTGGACGGTGATCCTTTCATTTTTTTGGTCTCTTGATTCTTTTGTTTTGTAAGCGGGCAATTTGTCCTGTTTACAGCTAGTGCTGATGTCAATATTCAGGCCACTGTCTGTTCTCAGGAAGCAAGAATCCACAAGTCTGGTTTGGCAGATATCGTCTCCCTCCGAGCAGCTATCTGCTTTGTAACTAGCATAGATGGGGCTTGTTCGACTGTCTCCCTTCTTAATAGGGCTGCTGTAGTACTGCTCTGAAAAACTACAGGGCGACAGCCTGCCAGCGTTCCTGTAAGAGTACGCACCAATGTCCTCCACGCTCAATTGCCTCCATCGCCCAGGCAAGTCTTCTTCTGAGAGGTGGGTGCTCCTGCACTCGTTCCTCATTTTCTGATTCGCTAAAGCCTGCTGCGGTGTTATGGCTGAGAAATGAAAAGGTTCGTTTGCATACGGAGGCAGAGTCCTAGTAAAAGTGGGGGAGTTCTCGTTGTCATCGGCAAGCTCCATGTGCTGCGCAGGTTTGGACTTGGCAAACCTAGGACTTCCCTGATGCTCATAACCTGCAGGTGACTTTCTTTCAAACAGTTCGTCTCGGTTGCTCATGTAGATCGCTTGCTGAGAGGCTGTCAGAGTGTTGGCTTGGGCGTTCTCCTTCTCCTCAGATGTGACGCTGAAGCTGGAGTAGGAGCTGGAGGTCGGCAGGGAGGTAATGTACTCTGGGAAGGCTTCGTGAGAGAAGCTGGAATGGAAACCGTCTTCTTCGACGGTGCTGTCCGTGGAGTTCTGGGAGCGCAGGAACCCCACGTCTTTCACTTGCGTGTCCACACTCTGCCTCCTCTCCCTCTGCCTCTCCTCAGGGCAGTAAAGGGCAGTGTCGCTGCAGTAGATGTCCGACTTGTACTGGGGCCTTTGCCCGAGTTTTCCGGCAGAGTCCTGGAAATTGAGATCCCTTGTAGACGGGCTTGACAAGTGTGAAGACAAGCTGTTGGGATCTGGTTTTTCCAGTACTTTGGCAATGACGCAAGTGGGTATGGTATCAGCGTAAGATGTGTGGCACAAGGGGACAGAAAGGCTGCACCCGTGCTTTTCCAGGTGGATGCTGACTCTTTCCTGAAAGTCAGATGGCAACTGTAACATAAAGAGATGGCAAAGGGGGAAGGAGAAAAGGGTACACGTCAATACCGGTGTCTGCTTGGGCTTATACAACATGGATAGATGAGTGCTGTTTATGACATTACATAGCTCACTATATACGGTTCTTTGACTAATGTGATGGCCACAATCTTTGTGCATTTCTGAAAACAAACATAATCAAATGACTTTCATTTATTTACTTAACATCTGGAAATCTTCGTCTGCTTCCCCTCGTGGAAAATACTGTGAAACTGAAAGGCTTCCTTCCAAGTTAATCCAGGTTGGAGAGGAATGATGTAAAGAATGTAGTAAACAACAATCTTAAAAAGGCAGGTAGGGAATTACAGCCTACAGCAACACTTTCCAGACTGCGTGCATGGGTGCCATTTGCAGTTGGAGTGTGGTGGTGCGGAGGTCTCTGCTGGGGTGAGGAAAGAGGAGCAAGAGATCAGATCGATTCTGTTCTTTTGCCTTTCTTTGAGCTCCCCTTGCCTCCAAGCCAGTGCCAAATTGCCGCCTGCCCTCCAGCGTTGCATTTGGTAAGCAATGTTGTTTGAAGAGGCAGGAAAGTTGGTTTCACTGACACTTAAAGCAATTGTACTGGCTGCTATGACGGGAGTGTTCCTGTGCTGGGAAGAAGCAAATCAAACTGGCTTCCTTGCCCCAGCAGTTGGACACTACTTGTCAGATCAACCATCCAGAGAAGCCTCAACATGTTCCCCTCTTCCAGCAGCTGCTAGCAGACTGCTTTTCTAGTTTCTTCCTACACTGACAGAAATAAGAGCTAAGACCTGAATTTACATCATGATTCCTGTGACAAACTAGTCAGAATTAATCAGTAAGTCTGTTATGCATCAGAATTCACATAGGTTTTGAAGAACGTCAGGATCAGCTCTGTGGACGGCGGTTCCACCTGCTGTTCTGTCATGTGGACCAGAAGAGATTGAGAGAGCACATTCCTTGGCGGGGCTCAGAAGCCTCGTAGGTAATGCCTACGCGGGTATCTCCAAGCATGCTTGCCAGCCAAATTTTCTCTGCCTTGCTCATTTCAGACCTCTATCAATGATCACATAGGGATATGAGAGAGAGCTGCATGATGGCTGTCTCTCAGTATTTCTTGCTGGACATCAGAAGAACTCATGTTCGGACTAAGTTTTGAGTTTGATATCCATGTTGATTTATGCCACTTAGGAATTTAGCCCTTGAATGCTTGGCTGAACTCTTATTTACTCAGCACTTTCTTTTTATAACTAGAAATCAAGTTCCTCTTTACCAAATAATCAGTGGTTACCCTTGTAGCCCTAAAAATCTCACTCTCTCCTTAACTTTGTTTCTCTAGAGGAGAAAACCCTACAAATGCTGAAGTGGTGTGCCCCTCCTCTATTTTAGGCAAGAGAAATTTCAAGTGCCTGCTCCTTCTTATGATCTCACATCACGTAAGATATAAAGCTCCTCTTTTAGATTCACTGGAAAGGTTTTAAAGTTGGCTTAATCTCCCCAAACTTAATGTATTCAAAATATGGCATGTTGTGAAATGACATTCTTGTTAATGTGGAGTAGGATGAGTCTTTTTTTCAACCAACAGACCTTCCAGGATATTTTGGATTAATCATTATGTTGTTAATTAGCTCATATGTCTTCCATTGGAAATAAAGAGTATGATATTGCCAATCTGCTGGCAGACAGCAGTATTAGTCATAGCAAGTACAGATACAACAAAGATTGAATAAAAAGGTTGTAAAACAGGGCTGCTGTAAATTGCCACAGAAATGAGGAAAAGAAATACAGTTCATTTAATGTGAAACTGCTGTATGGGGTAGCTATAATTTTAGTATCCTGTTACACCACTATTTGATCTATTTTATATACATTATTTAGATTATGAAATATGCTAAGTAAAAGAACATTATTTTCTGGGCATTGCCCTGGAAACTGGAATTACTAAAATGATATTGCTATATTGTACCATAGTTTAGGATTCTGGATAACATACAATACCTTGTCAGGCAATATTTGCATTTGTAAGGAAACTATTGGCTGTGACAGCACATTCACACTTGCTAAATTAATAAATACTTGGATTTATGAGTGGACACTTTGCCTATTTAATTGAGTGTATGACAGTCTGGGAAATGGTGGGGAGATCCCACATTTGTGATAGTTTTCTGCAGGTGAACCACTAACTACTTTTAAGGTCTAATTCTTGCTAACAGGTAGGGTGCTTTCAAGTGTGAGTAATGTCATGACAATTCCTGGATATGAATTGCTCAGGGAAGTCAGTCACTAGGAAAAAATAACACGACCAAGGTAATGGTTAATTTGGAATTTCTGTCTCATTCCAGAAAATCATCGCCCATTTGACAGAAAAGTCTTGCTCTGTCTTTATTTACCAGGGTTGTTTAGTGCTCTGAAGCTGTCTACTGGCTTAGAAATGGTGTATACGTTCCACATTCAATTTTGCATTATTCTGTTGCAGAATTGCACAAAAGAGACCATTTGGGGGGACATTAACCTGATGGGACTGATGGAGGGAAGGCTTTTCTCCATGACCTTCACCTAAGCAATATACATGAGGAAGATGCTGTTGCTTTGTGTAGGGCCTGCATCACTAAAGACAGTCCTGTTCACTAAGATAATATTTACCTCCTCTTTAAGGAGTCTGTTTCTCAAGCCTAGTTTCCCTGGAAGCGAGGATTATTAATTAAAGTTTACACCTTGGAAATCAATCATTCAGTGCTCTAGTTGCTTTAGAAAAAGATATTTGTTCTGTCAGTCCATTTTAAAATTCAAGTTTGGAAATTAGCTGGACTGGAAAATAGCTTCAGGAGGAGAATTGATTATATCAGAATCTCTGATGCCTGCAGCTTGTCATTTCCCTGCTCTCACCCCTCCCCCTGTTCCCCCCCCAGCATTTTGCAGTCTAGAGTTCTCAGCACTTTGGTTTTGCTAAAACCTTTATTTTATGTGATCAGTGCAGGCCCATTCTACTAGATAGCAGAGTTTTGGGGGAAGAGAGTACCTCCAAGTTCCATCACCGGCTGTGATTTTGTCAGCACCTCCCTCAGCTGCACAGAATACCAGCAGGTGCACAAGCCCTCGTGTTGCTTAAAGGCGGGGGGGGGGAATCAAAGCCTTAAGGGCAGACAAGTTCTGGAATTGATACATGTAAAATAACCTGTTTGCCATAAAATATTTATTTCTTTGAATATTCACCAAGTTTGGTCACATTACCTCCGAAAGCTTATGTGCCCTGTCGTAATTCTTGCTGCACTGGAGCAACTGAGCAGCTAAATTGCAGTCCTTCCTATAGAGCTCCTAGAAAAACAAAAAATAGCCTGTTTTTTAAAGTTTGTAAATAGCTTGTGGCTTTCAGCCTTTCTCCCATGCCTGAGCAATCTTTTAAAAATTGACTTTGGGAAAATTTGGAGCATACTTTAACTTTCCAATACATTAAGATTCCGTGTTTCTTGCATGGTCGTGAGATGTTTGCCCCTTTGCTCTGTGAGGGCTGACAAAACTACTAAAAAGAAAATTTTGACAACTGTTACTACAGAACAGTACTCTGCATTTTAAAAGATGAATACTTACCATTAGGAACTGGACTTTATACTGTTAACATGCATGGCTCTATGAAGACTAAAATAGACATGATCTTTTAAGCAAAAAGAAAATTTAAGAACAGACATTTTTGCTGAGTATTATCCAGATCAGTACTAAGATACTACTTTAGAAAATGCTTACATAATCTTATGAGGCTGTGGGAGAAATTCATTGCAGAAATATACATTGTATTGTTTTTTAAAAGAAGGCCTTTGTCTCCTTATGAAACTTTCTTGCTGGTTCCTGGCTCCTTTCATATCCTGCAGAATGCAGCTATACAAATATATTAAATCTCACTGCAAATATTTGATGCTGCAGAACAGGGTATTTTTACTGGGTAAGAAGTTACCATGAGAATTCCACACAGGGAAAAAGAGAATTTAAACAAGCCAGTTATACTATTTTTGTATTGAATGGCTCCCACAGCCTATTTAATGGGAAAATTCAGTACATAGATTTGCCCTTTGTCTAAATTTAATTTAGCACACATGACCGTAACTGTATCCTTCAGCCAGTATCTTTGGGTCCCTGGAGGTAAGTGTTGTATGTTGCTTTTCCTCATCTAGGTGCCATTAAAAACAAAGTTGGCTTCAGAAGTTGACTTTATAGGTGGGCATAGATGAGATAGACAAAGCATATAGGTACTATGGAGACTAGGCTGTGTTACTCTGTAAAAATCAGAAAATGTTTATAGAGAAAAGATGTTGAATATTGAAATGTTTTTACTTTTCTCCAGTGTTAATGTTATAATTTTATTGCATGCAGATTTTTACTGTTCCACTTGTTCTTTTAAAGCTGATAATGAAATTTTCTATGAAAAGGAAAGGTGGAAATTTCCTCTGTTTTGAAAAAACATTTAAAAATTATTCTATAATAGGTACAACAAGATGTTCCTGGGAGTCTGTGAGGCGCGGGGGTAGTAAATGTAGTTTTCCTATGATCATTAGTTCATTATATCTTCATATTCAAGGGCCTTTAGATACTCTTGGTTTGTGGGGTTTTTTTGTGTCTGTATGAGGTTTTAGAGATGCCACTTCTGCTTTAAATGTACTGGGGAGATACGGTCATTTATGTACATCTTAAATTTTATATCAGTACACACTATTTTTATTCCTGAAAACAGATGCAAACACTAGGAATGCAAGAATTCAATTTAGAAGCAAAATCTGTTGCATGTGCATGTGATTCTGACATGTTACATGCACATTAAACACATAATATATTGCTGCACAAGGTATAGCACAGACAAGTACTCCAAGTCCCATATGGCATCACTAAGCACACAAAAATGAAATCACTCCAAAATCCAATCCTTTCTTCAAAAGCTCTGTGCCTCTGTTTCTGTGAAGCGGTTGTCATGGAGAGTACAAAAAGTGTTTCTGACACTTTATTTTTAGCAGCTTTAAAAATTACTACAGAAAAATTACATGTGAGTTAAATGTGCCACGTGTACTTTGTTCTCAACATGCTGAGATATGCCATGTGACTGGAGTGACTTTCTGTCCTTTAATGTTTATCTGAATGGAAACTAGCCACATCTGTAGCAACTAGAACAATAATTGGCAATTAATACCGAAAGTGTTTCCCATTGTGTAAAACACGTTTTTGCATCAAAAGCATCATTTTACATATCTGTCAGAAGAATAAGGGGAAATATAATTGAAGGAAGAAATGCTGGCAAGGGAAAAGTATGTTCTCCCTGTGTAGGATTCTTCAGTTTAACACTGTCTCTACTTATTAGGCATAACATTAATGGTTTGTTTCATATTTCTCTATTTAAAATGTGGAATTTAACCTTTACTTTCATTAGTGATGCTACACAAGTAAGGGCAGAATTTTGTCTGTGAATTGACCTCAAGTATGAAGAAGTGGTATTGTTATTTGAGGCTTCTGGACCATACTCTAATGTTCAGAGTAGTTCAGAATAATTCTTGGAAGAAGAGTACTCTGAACTCCAGTCCAGTCTAAGCTGCCTTTTAAAAACTATGGATATTGAAAACAGTTCTTCAAACCTGACTCCATGAAGTAGTGTAAATGCATGCATACTTACTAGGAGAGTTTTATAATTTTTTCCCCCTCTATTTTAAATCTGAAATAACTCCACTGATTTCAGCTGAATTAGTCCTGATGTATACCTGTGCTTCTAAAACCTAAATGTAGCCCATTGCATTTACCACATTCAGTTAGTTACAGCTATTAGAGTTATGAAGTAACTGTTGTTTCAACACAACTTCTATAAAAGTAAAGGGGCAGATTGTGAACTCTTTGTTTCCGTTGGAAAGCTGTTAATAGTATAGGTACAATTCACATCAACAGGCATATTAATGGGATCAAATGCTCCCTCCTATGATTAAGAGTTCATATGAAATATGGGAAGATTGAATGTAAGATGCTGAAAAATAAGTGCTAACAGAAACATGTCTTCTGTAGATGAATTTTTTATTAAGTGTTTAAGGAATGGCACAATAATGAACTAAATGCCTGCAATCTTCCTTTCTTTGCTGTCTTTTTAGGTTTGTCCCTGGAAGGATTTCATGAGCTGATTGCCAGCTGCAGTGAACATGCCAGTTTTCAGCAGTGTTTAATGACATGCAGGGTGACAATCACCAGAGATGTTCCCTGTTCCCTTCCACACAGAGATAGGTAAATTATTCCACATGAACCACAGCTGGGGAAAACCTGGCTCCCACTCCCTGCAATAATCTGAGCAACCAGGCTGGGTCAATACTAACTTCTGCTGGTAGACCTCACTTGTGCCGGGCATCGCATTTCAGTGAGCAAAGACTGAAAGATCAGAGGAACTGCAGGAAATGTAGGGCTCTACACTGCCTAAAATCCTTATGATGAATCCTCACTCCATACATGTGTCCACGCAATAGCTCTGAGCATGTGCTTCCACCAGTTCCCTGTACTAGACCAAAACCGATGGCAAAATCAATGTGGGAATATTGCCATTTCTTAGAATATTTTTTCATCAGTTTTAGGTTAGACATAAGGAAAAAAATATCAATGAAAAGTCTCACCCCAACCCCACAGCATAAGGAGAGCTGAATTCACAAAATGATGGGAACAATCAAACATGAATTTTAACTGTCTTGGTGACAAGTTACATTTTACGTAAACAATAAGAAATTATTCTATAATTTCATGGGAAGTGCATGGCCTAACTTATTTTTAAATATAATCTCAAGATGTATCCATAATTAAATACTTACATTGTCTTCTGACAACTTATCTATTGTCACCTTGGCCTCTATTAAGTGATTATTGAGTGCAATTATTTCATGGCTCAAAGCCCGTTTTTCCTCTTCATAATGTTGACCCTGTGTAGAAAATGGAGTAGTCAGTATTTTTTCTACTGTCAGAATAGATCAGAAAAAGGCCCAAAGGTTGATGTCATTCTCAAATCCAGGGAAAAGCACAACAGACCAGTTTTTTGTTTTTTTTTTCTATTTTTTGCTATTTTCACTCAGCAGATGAGGCAAAGTACTTTGAAAATATGGAAGTCAAACTGAGCTCACATCAGGAACCTTCACAAAAGGCTCTAGCTAGCCTGTGCAAAAGCATTCGATGAGCATCAGCTATTCCTTCTTCATCACAAGACAGTGTTTCTAACCTGGAAGGGACTTGGGCAGCTTTTGGCTTTTGCTACGAGAATGTTTCACTTATGCCATTAGCTCCCATTCTCATCAGGGAGGAAGAACAATATTTAAAAAGGAAAGTAGCTGTGTTTGAGCCAATTTCTTTTTAGCCGTTGACTGTGCTGGCTGCTTTAAAAGCCCTGAATGAGGTTGTTCATTTCTCAAGATGAATGTTTGCCTGATTGTGGGGTTAACACTCATTAGCAGAATGTGATCCACTGTGGGATAACAGGAAAATAGTCTGATTCAAACTTCTTGCTGCCCACTAATTTAAGCTTGTTACCAGTAGCCTGTAACTCTATTATAAATGCAAAGAAATCAGTGGGGAAAATAAAGTGCCACTGGCCCTTCCGATACAGTGTCCCATTTTCATATTGCAGTGTTTATTGCACTGCCTTATATATCAAAAATTATTTTGTAACAATCATTTATAACCCTGCCTCCAGCCTTATGTTAGTATTTACAAGTATGGTAGCTTCTGAATGCTCTAGCTGAGATCAAGGCATCTTCCTTGTGCTCAGAGCTGTACAAGACCATGATAACAAGAAGGTTTGCCAATTATCTGGATGGATCTTTTAGAAAGCAGTGTTGCAGTAAGAACAGAAAGTAGGGTAAACTTTAATGTACATCTGTGTTGTTTAGCGAACTCAATCCAGTGACAAATTCACAATGTCACTTCCCATTCTAAAATTGTTGGAGTGATTTGTGAAGGACTTTCTCCGGCAGGATGATTGTATTAGCTACTGAAATTTCCTGAATGCCATATTGCCAGGGTCACACAAAAACCTTCCATCAACACACACTCGACATTGTCAGCTAATTGACAGCAACGGGAGTTGTGTGTTTTGAAGTCTGACTGAATATCAAGGTTAATTATCCGGCTGCAAAGCACCAGGCTATATCAAAGAAGGGTGATTAAATTGGAAGTGGCAACTCTCATCCTAAGCTGCTATTTAAAGAATAACACGTTCTCAAATGGTCTAAGCAAACCCACGGCTTGCTTTAAACAGTGTAGATATGATTGAAGTGTCTTTGTGAAGGTCTGGACTGGCCTGTTTTAATGTCAGCTTTTCTATGGGCTGTCTGTTCCCCGCTGTTGCAAGACCTCTGTCCTTACAGCCCAGCCGTGCCTGGAGGCTGGTTCAGGCTTGACACCTCTCCCATCCTCGTTCCCATTGATCAGGTGCTCCTGCTAGGTGCCCGAGGACTGTATCATGGAAAGCCAAAGCGTAGCTTTGACAGCTTGCAAGAGCTTCAACCTCACTGATTTCAACATGACACATGATCTTAGGGGCTATGTTCTTTAATTAGGCAGATCGACGTGGTTTTACGTGAGGCCCTTAACTCTCATTGATTTTATTGTGAACTAAACAACTAGGCACTTTGTAAACCTCCTGGACATCTGTGCACCTCTAGAAATCTGTCTCCTTTTAGAGTATGATTGAAGATTACATTTCCAAAGGTATTTAGCTGTGTAATGAGGTAGACAAGTGACTAAGGTACCTGGGGAAAATGTGTCCCCTCAATTTTCCAAGTAATTTCATGCTTCTGAAGGATTCAGGTCCACTGAGTACAGACTTAATCTTCCAGATAACCATTTGTATTGAAGATTTTATCAGTCCTTGTATGACAAGTTGTCACTGCCAGGGCAGCTGATTTGTAGGACCCCCTTTTGCTCTAAGTCTCTCTGATTTCAGTAAGTGTTGCCCTTGCCTAACCAAATTGAACTTGGCTCAATATATTTTACAGTTCAGGAAGGATCATCTGATCAAGGATTTATAGTCTTCAGCAGAGAGAAACTCATATAAGGGCAGCACATTCAGGCTTTGGAAGCAGTACTTTTCATTGCCTTGAGTAATGCTGAATCTGACTGAATTAAAGTTTCATTTTATTTCAGTTATGATAACTTTTGGGCTGATGTTTTCCAGACTTTGTACCTGACCATGTGTGACTTCTTTAAAAAATATTTTATATTTGTTGAACTGTAAAATTCGCCTCAGTCCAGATTTATAGTATACAGGTCAGCACATAGACACCGAAGTAATAAACATCTCAGCAGTCCTGTGGAGGAGGGGGAGTGAGAAAGAAAGGTCAGTCCCAGCCTTCTCCACCAGTGTATGTTCATATCTTTCTCTTGAAATCAGTGCTGTTGATGTGAGCAAAGAGTCTGTCTCACTGTGGCAAAATGAGCCACCCTAAGGTGGACAGGACCCTGAAAGGCTTTGGCATATTGACTACATACAGCGTGTCCATCTTTGAAAGTTCAGGGTTTCAGCCAGATGTTATTGTGGTCCAGTGGTGGCAACTAGAGGACAGGGGCTTAATCGTGACACTACCTTGGGGAAAATGGTGCAGCTGGAAGAGATGGTATGGTAGTGATGGGTCACTGCATTAAAAGGATTGCTGGTTACTGGGGACTGCAACTTTGAGCTCTCCAGTTGCAGTTGGACAATCATGTTTTCAGCATCAAGTATAGATGTCAGAGAGGGATGAAAGGAGGATGGGAATCATAATATCAATGCTATGGTTGTGAGTTACAAATAGAAATGCTTATCTTACTTATAACCACTTTTGGCAGATCCCTCTATTTCTGGTAGCTTTCACATGCTTCGTCCTCCTGCTCTTCCATAAGGCTGGTGACCTCTTTCCTTTTGGCACCGTTTTCTGCTTGGCAGATGCTAACAACCTACCTCTCAAAACTCAGTAACAGATTAAGTTAATGGTGTTATTGATATGCCAATAGCCTGCAGCTGGGCTGAGGGTTCCTGAAGTCCACTCTAAAATCCCATAGCTATAGGCTGCAATGGGCTGAGCTTCTGGTGTATGCTCTGTTCAGAAATATTTGTTGAGTCAGCTCAGTGCATCTTGCCCCTGCCTCCTTCCCCGGCACTGAGCCAGCGTAAAAGAATACAGCTCCATAGTGCCTGACTAACATGAGAGAACAGCAGTCACATGCCCATGTCTGAGTCAGAATCAAATTCCTGCTGCTGGGTGACTCCAGCGGTGCACAGCGCTGATATTGATGTTGGGGGAACCAAGTGCTGGGAGCCCTTGCTCCTAGCCTGGATTTAGCATGAGCCTCACTGCTTCCTTCTCAGATCTGATGAAGGAATTGGGTATCTGCTTTTCACAAAGGGATCAAATGATATAATAAAAGATATCATCTCTGTCTGGAACCTTGTTTTTCTCATAATTTGTATCTATCACCGTGACATCATCCCTCATATATTTGCAGATCCATAAAAATATAAGGTGTCACTTTCAAAAGTGTTTGGTATCATCTAGTTCCTGCACCTGTTATCTGTGGTATAGGTGGGGTGAAAAGAGTTTTGGTAGGTTGATACAGCATGAAATAATTTATAGGTAAGTGTATTTTGGAAAGTAACAAAAGCTGGATGAAAAGATCTGCTTTTCTTGCGTATTAGTGGATCCACAAAGGTTCCTAGTCTAGTCCTTCAGCAGAAATGGAGCAGCCTAAAAGTTGGCTGTCTCTCTGGTAATGTTTCAGTCTCCCTTCAATGCTTTCCAGCAGCTGGAGAGTGTCTTGCCATAAAGCAGTGTCAGCCTATTAGTCAAGACTAGGCTGCTTACTGTCATCTCTGCTGTCCTGTGGGAGCTTTGAGATGTGTATAGACCTTTTGAAATCAGTCTCAATTTCGCAAATGAGCAGTGCTGGTCTGTGGAAATGTCAGCTTTTTCAAACATGGCAAAGTAAATCTGTTCTTGATGTTCCTGTACAGAACATTTCAATGGATAGCATTTCAATGCTACTGTGAGAATAATATAAAGGTAGTAGTGACCATCAAGGTATTAGTGGCCAGCAGCATTCTGTTGGAAATACCTCTTAGTAAGTATGAAGAATGACTGACAGAATGAGAGAGACAGACAGAAAGAGAGAGAGACTTGTTCTGTTACAAATACCACCAAAGTGGCACTGGTATCCCATCCTGAATGCCTAAACAGAGGTTTACTGCAATGTTTTTGGATGTGGAATACAGGCAGGACTTTGTTCCCTTTTTTCTTTACTACTGTGCTTGCCCAGGAGGAAGATAGCACTTCACAGGAGAAATTCCCCACCCTTTTGGATCAGTGTAATACTGTTAACTCAGTACTTTTCTCACAGAGCACCAGTTATGATCTTTACATTGCAAATATTAATAGGTGCTGTAAGGTATCTGCTAAGCAACTGCAATGCATTTATTGTTGTTCTGTGGATCATAGCTGGTGAACAAGTGCTTGTGGGGGTATACTTTCAAAACAAGGTCTGCATATTTTAAGGCGAGATTTTATAATCTCATTGAAATCATCTTAGGAAGGATAAAACAGAGCAGTTGCAGATGACATAAATCTAGGAGGAGTGGCTGGGTTGTGCTGCAATCCAGAGGGACCTCAACAGGCTGGAAAAATGGGCTGATAGGAGCCTCATGAAGTTCAACAAGGGGAAATGCAAAGCCTGGCACCTGGGGAGGAAAAACCGCATGCACCAATGTATGCTGGGGGCCACCCAGCTGGAAAGCAGCTTTGCAGAAAAGAACCTGGAGGTCCTGGTGGTCATCAAGTTGAACATGAGCCAGCAGCATGTGTCCTTGCTGTGAAAATGGCCAAAGGTAACCAGGGCTCCATTAGGAGAAGTGTTGCCAGCAAGTTGAGGGAGGTGACCCTTCCCCTCTGCTCAGCACTGG